CTCTTGTTACTGTACCACATCTGCAGTTACTTCTCCCACTGAAGTCTTGAACTCCTCAGTCATCCATGTGGGTTGGAGTCAACTTCTTCCAAACTCCTGTTAGTGTTGATATTTTGACTTTCTCCTATGAATCCCAAATGTTCTTAACAGTATCTGGAATGGTGACTCCTTTCCACTACACTTGGCTAAGTTTCTTTTATTTATCTTTTCTGTGGAGACCAGGTCTCACTCTGTTGACCAGGCTGGCTGGTCTCAAATCCAGTAGGTTTTCAATTTGCTTTGCCCAGATTCATTAGAAAAAGTGCTATCCACGGCAGCTATAGCCATATGAAATATATTTCTTAAAGAATAAGATTTGAAAGTCAAAATTACTCCTGAACTCATGGGCTACAGAATAGATGTAGTGCTGGCAGCCATGAAAACAACATTAATTTCTTTGTACATGTCCATGGCAGCTCTTGGGTGACTAGATACGCTGTCAATTAGCAGCAACATTTTGAAAGAAATCCTTTTTTCTGAGTAGTAGGTCTTAACAGTGGGCTAAAATTATTCAGTAAACTCTGCAATAAACAGATGTGATATAATCCAGGATGTGTTGTTCCATTGATAGAGCAAAGACAGAGTATTTAGCATAATTCCTAAGGTCCTTAGCATTTTCAGAAAAATGAGTATTGGCTTCAAGTTAAAGTCGCCAGCTGCAGCACCCCCTAAAGAGAAAGTTGGCCTGTCCTTTGAAGCTTTGAAGCCAGGCACTGACTTCCTCTCTAGTTATGAAAGTCCTAGATGGCACCCTAAAATAGAAGACTGTTGCATCTCCATGGAAAATGTGTCTCTTAGCATAGCCACTTTCATTAATTCTTTTATCTAGATCTTCTGGATAGTTTGCTGCAGCTTCTCCATCAGCATTTGCTGTTTCACCTTGCACATTTATGTTACAGCTTCTTTCTCTAAAGAAGCTTCTATCTTCATTTATTAATCAACCTCTGCAAGTTTCAAACTTTTCTTCTGAAGCGTTCTTAACTCTCTCAGCCTTTATGTAATTGAAGAGCAGCAGGGCTTTGCTCTGGATTAGGCTTTGGCTTAAGGAAATGTAGCCGCAGATTTAATCTTGTATTAAGACCACTAAAACTTTCTTCATGTCAGCAATAAGGCTCTTTTGCTTTCTTATCATCTGTGTGTTTGCTGGAGTAGCATGTTCAATTTCCTGCAGGAACTTTTCCTTTGCATTCACCACTTTGCTAACCATTTAACTCAAGAGGCCTAGTTTTCAGCCTGTCTGTACTTTTGACATGCCTTCCTCACTAAATTTAATCACTTCTAGCTTTAGATTTAAAATGAGAGATGTGTGACTCTTCCTTTGGCTTGAACACTTAGAGGCCACTGTAGGATGATTAACTGGCCTAATTTGACTATTGTTGTGTCTCAGGGAACAGGGAGGCCTAAGGAAAGTGAGAGAGACGGGGAATGGATTGGAGGAGCAGTCGGAGCATGTATAACATTTACCAATTAAGTTTGCCATCTTGAGTGTGGTTCCTGGTACCCTAAAACAATTCCAATAGTAACATCACAGATCACAAATCCACATCATTGGTATAAGAATACTTTTTTGAAAGTTCGAAATATTATGAAAATTAACAAAATGTTTCACGAAGACAGAGAGGACGTGCTATTTGAAAAAGAAATGGCTCCAACAGACTTGCTGGATGCAGGGTTGCCAGAAACCTTCAATGTGTAAAAAACACAGTAGCTGCAAGGTGCAATAAAGAGCAATAAAACAAGATATGCCTGTGTTAAGATAATTATTTGACCTCTCTGAGGCCCACTACGCTCAGCAAAAAATGAAGGGGTTAGATTGCAACATCTTATAAGTTTTCTTCCAGCTTCAACATTCAATTTCAACCCCAGCAAGTCTTTTACAGCTGTAATGCAGCGATTACCAGCCGGAAGTCAGGAATATACCATCACAAGTTCACAGAAATAACTTCACACACTTTGGCCTGTGTATGGCTGGGAAAGGCCAGAGTCTGATGGATCACAACTTCAAGAAATACAGTCACATTGTCAAGAAGTCTTCAAATCCGATTTAAAAGTTGAGTCGGAAATAAGGAAAGCCATTCCAGAGAATAGTGCAAACGCTTACAAAAATACATACACATTGTGCTGAAATGCAGTAATGACTATTGATCCTAAGTTTGATTTTCAAGTCACAATTGCACATGTAAGTCTCAGTCAACAACATGTTTTAAATAGATTGTACAAAGAATTTCCCAGGCATTAACTCTCTTCTTTTGCACAATACTGTGTGTGTGTGTGTGTGTGTGTGTGCGCGCGCGTATGCATGCGCGTGTCCATTATTACAAACTTTTTTTTCTTTCTTTCAACGTTTATTTTAGGTTCAGGGACTACACGAGCAGGTTTGTTATATGGGTACATTGTGTGCCACTAGCATTTTTAGAAAATAATTTGAGCAAGTTGTAGTCCTGACATCCCATCACCCTCACCAGACAACTCCCAAAGTTAAGAAATCATCATTGATGCCACACTGCCTTTCAATCCATAAAGGCCATTCAAATTTCACCAACTCTTCTGGTGAGACCCTTTTTATTCTGTCTGGTTCCAGGATGCCATTCAGGAGTACACATAGAGGCCGGTCACAGTGGCTCATACCTGTAATCTCAAATCTCAGCACTTTGGGAGGCCGAGGTGGGTGGATCGCCTGACGTCAGGAGTTCAAGACCAGGCTGGCTAACATGGCAAAACCACATCTCTACTAAACACACACACACACACACACACACACACACACACACACACACACAAATTAGAATTAGCCAAAGCATGGTGGTAAATGCCTATGATCCCAGCTACCGGGGAGACTGACGCAGGCGAATCACTTGAACCAGGGAGGTGGAGGTTGCGGTGAGCCAAGGTCATGCCACTGCACTTCAGCCTGAGTCAATTACTACAATGATGGTGGGCAAATGGTGTTTTTCTATTTCGACATTTCTTTTTTTCATTTATTGGTAGCATTCCACCATAAGAAAGAGCTTTTCTTTTTCCCCAAGTATTTATTTATTCATTCATTTAGTTACGTCAGTATAGGCCTATAGATTTCTATTTTATTCAATAGATTATATTCCATCACTACGATTACCTATTTTGAGATTCCAGTTGTCCCAAATTTAGCCAGTGGGGGCCTTCACAGTGGCTCACATGTCATGACATGTTTCTATCATTTTTTTCAGCATTTTCTTACTTTCTAGCACAATAAGATATTCCACGCTTACTTTGAATTTTCCATGCCCTAGTCAACTAATCAACAATTTCTCCAAAGAGCCCAGGTTCTTTTAGTGTACGATGTGCTATGTGTTTATGGTGCTCATTGCTTCCACAGTGTCAATGCTTCTAGGCCTATTGAGTGGACAGAGCCAGAAAATATGTGTATATGGCCATGCACAGACTTACACACACATCCATACATACATCTTTAATAATTCCATACCTAGGCCAGGCGTGGTGGTTCACGTCTGTAATCCCAGCACTTTGGGAGTCTGAGGCAGGCAGATCACCTGAGTCGTGAGTTCGAGACCAGTCTGACCAACATCGAGAAACCCCGCCTCTATTTAAAATACAAAAAATTAACCGGGCACAGTGGCGCATGCCTGTAATCACAGATACTCAGGAGACTGAGGAAGGAGAATCACTTGAACCCAGAAGGTGGAGGTTGTGGTGATCCCAGATCGCCTCATTGCACTCCAGCCTGGGCAACAAGAGTGAAACTCCATCTCAAAAAAAAAAAAAAAAAAAAAATTCCACACCTAAATATCTATAGGTATATGTTTTTAACAACGAGTTCATATCAATACTTCCAATTTTAATTCAATACTTCATGATTCTTTTTAGCCTTGTTTATAAATACCTTCTCTAATCGTGTTAAACCTGGTTCTCTTCATCATCTTCACTACATTAACTAACATGATCAAGACCAACAGGCTGCCTTTTGGCTCAAGGCCAGCAGGTTTCCTACCACAGAGCTCTGCACCCTCAGACACTGGTAGGCAAACTGCTGGGGGGGCCTTTACACCTCCCACATCATCTCTTGCCCTGTACCCCATATCTGTGGGTATGCCACTGGCAAGCCACCACTGCCACCTCTCTCTATCTCGTGGCCCTGCCATGACCCTGCTGTTTTGTGCTGAAAAGAGATGAACCATTATAATTGAAAATGAATAATGTCTGTATAAGAATGGAGAGTGTCTTAGGGAAAATTGAATTGTAAGAGAAGGTAATTTTTGGCACCACTGAATCCTCTCCCTGTCTCTTCTAATGTGCTGGAATCCTGCCTTCCTTTCCCTGGCACCAAGCATTCATCACACTGCCTGCCAGCATCCCAGAGAGCTTCACCAAGGGTCCTGGCCTACCTTGCCCCTCTTCCTCATTACCAAATCCTTTCTTACCTCCTCCTTCCCGCCATTTGCCTGAACTTCTTTAGGTGTTAAGAGGAAAATTAACATGTTTGTCCATGGTGGAATTTTAAATAGCACAGGGAAACTGATATTATGGCATTCAAACAGATACTGTGGGAGATCTTTGGGGGCAAGGCACCCTTACACTACATCAGACATAGGACTCCACTCTGATTCTTTCAGGTAAATACAGATGGCTCAGAGGGATTTTCTTCAGTATTTTTAGATTTCATAGCAAAAAGTAAAAGCCAATAGAGAAGAAATGCAAAATGCATTTTTTATCAAAGTTTCTGGATAACTATTGCAGACATTTAATTTTTTTTTTTTTTTGACAGTGAGTAAATCAGTCTTTGCAATTACTAGTCCTGGACTAATTTATAAAGAAAATACCACTAAGCTGCCAAAATCAGCACCATACAATAATAATTAAAATATATTTTTAAACTGTAGTAAATATTTTTCTCTAGTGTGACTTTTTACTTATAACAAATACTGTAAGATAACATTTAGATTTATTATTTTAATTACAACCACAGACTCAAACTGTTACAGTAATGAGAACAGGATCTAATTACACAGAGGTATGATGAGACTGATGCTTTTTTAGTGCTGTTACACAGCATTATTTATTTCATTTAATCTTCACACTGACACATTTAGCCACTATGTAGACTGCTACTTATTAATATGGTAACATTTTTTAACAATCAAACTATATTTATGATAGATGGCTTATTTTAAGTGATATTTTGCAAATATTTGACATTTGCATAATATGCATTTTAATTTAATAATGTTACTTAAGTCATGTGTTTTAAGGAAGCAATTTCTCATAATGGGAAATTAGTTTTGTGTGGGATGTTAATTATACAATCATTATATCTATCCTGCAGAGGTTTTAAATTTAACTATTTCAATGTCCAAGCAAAGATCCCCACGTTGGGGGAATTAATGTAAGTGAATATTTTTATACAGGAGGAAACAGGGAAAAACACTTAAGTATCAATTCCAAAATTATAATGCAGTGAGAACAAAACCAGACAAAAAGATGTGCAATTTTCTCCATCCCACCAAAAAAAGAAAAATATTGCCTAGGAGAAGAAAATTATATTTCTCTCATTTTTGATAAAATGTAAGTATTCTCTTAAAATAGGGAAACGAAAACATGAAGAAGGTCAGCTCACTCAGGGGGGTTACTGAAAGGATATTTAGGGGAGAAATAGCTGCTTCTGTCTCAATAGCCAGTAAGGGTAAGGCTTCAGGGAAATTTCTCTACTGCTGCCAGCATCACTTATGTAAAATGCAGTTCAAGGACCAGCAGTATTGGTATCACCTGCCACCTATTAGATACACAGACCCTTGAACCCTGTTACAGACCTACTGAGTCAGATAGTGAATTTTAAGATTACCCAGTGATTCATATAAATATTACAATATGTGCTAACTCACCCTCATCCAAATTATTCTCCTTGTAGCTACCAGACAGATCAGGAAATCTGGGGTTTATGCGTCCCCTTCTTAAAATTCTTCAATAGAGTCTGCTACACTTACAATAAAAATTGTGTTCTTGCCATGGTCTACAAGGCCTTAAGAGATCTGATACCTGCCTGCCCTCCCACCTCATCCAAAACAACTGTCTCCTCACCTCATCCTATTCCCTTCACTCTGGGCATTTTCAGATTCCTACAGTGTCTTAAGTGCTTCACACCTTCAGATCATCACACATGTTTCTTATGCAAGGAGTGGTCATTCATGTTAGTTTTCATTTGACTAAATTCTATTCATGCTTTAAGTCTCTGTCCAAACTTGAGGACTTTCCTCAGAGCTCTTTCTAAAACCTCACAACATAATAACCCGTCCACTCAACTCCTTACATATTCTCCATTTGGGTTTTTTATGCTTCATAGCAATTTAGCTTTTAGTTAGTACTATGTGTGCATGGTCGCATGTGCACTTACTTGTATGATTCCTGTCTCCTTCACTAAGCTATAAGTCCCTTAAGGGCAGAAATAATTCTGTTTTGCTCAAAACTGTGTATTTATATCTTATAAAACTACCAGAACATTTATATTTATTGGGTTAGCAAATGTTGATAAAGAAATAATACTGAAGAAAGAGATAAAGTATTCCATGGTAATTTTATAAATTTTATCTTTTATGGTTTCTCTTTCAATCATAACAATTTCAAACACAATAGATGGTATAGAAATTATTAAAATTAATCCTAGCTGTGGATTGATTTTGATCATTCGATCCTTTCAACTTTGCTCAACGTAGTCATAAATTCACAAACATTTATCAACTCTGCAAAACAGAACAGGCTCTGTCTTCTTCATCTCAAATACCTGATCAGCCTTGTCCTTTCTTGTTTCTATCCGTATCACATAAAACACAAAATGTCTTCCTTCAGCCAAACTTACCGAAAGGGCATTGTTACAATTTTCCTGAAAACCAAACCAAACCAAACCTAATAACAGTTAAGAGATCTGGAACTCCTTTGAATACTACACCCAATGTAGTATTCATCTATGGCTGACTGGCCTTTCTGCCTCTTTGAGAATTCCAATGCAGAAGTTCCTGCAAAGGCCAACTTAGAATACATTCCTCTCTTACAACCATTATACGTCCTGCTTTCCGCATCAATAACTCTATGCAAACAAATTGGAAGCGACGTAGCCATAGTAAAGGAGAGATAAATCAAGTCTTCTGATTAGCTGTATCTGTATAACAAATTACCTCTAAAACACAGTGGTTGAAAACAACCATTTTATTAAAGCTCACAATTTCTGGATGAAATTTGAGGAAGTCTCAGCTGAGCTATGGTTCTGCTCCACTTGATTTTAATTAATACAATACCCAGCTGATGAGCCGGCTGGTCTGGAGAGTCCAGAATAGCTTCAGGCACATCCCTTGGCAGAGATGGCTGGAAAACTGCACTATGTCTGTACCAGGAGTATCTACATTTGGCCTCTTCAGCATTACAGTCTCAGGGGAGTTGGACTTCTTAAATGGAAACTCAGGAGGTCCTAGAGAGAGTGTTTAAATAAACAGGAAGCAGAAGCTAACCAATTTTAAATTTGATTCTTGAAACTAGCATATCCTGACTTCCACTATATTCTATTGGTCTGTCAATCAAACACCAACACTACATTCAAGGGAAGGGAATAGGCCCCCATTTCTATGGGATGTGTCAAAGAATGGTGCCGTTTTTCCTTCACCATATTGAGAAGGTGAGTCTATATGCTCTAAAGACTGATCATTGAATCATTATATATTGATGAAGGGATACTCCTTGTAGTTAGTATATTGGCACAGTCATAAGGGAGCTACTTGTGCAGTGACCCTACGTGGGCCAACACAGCAGATCAGTATGATATAAAAATAGTTTTCATTTAGTCATTTGTTTACTAAGTCAAGTCAATGCTTGACAGTGTAAGGGGGGGGAATTACTAAGGCAAGTAAAAGAGTTTCTGTCTTCATAAACACTCAGCCTAGTCAGAGAAAGAACATATAACAATACTGAAAATTGTGATAGACTGGTCTAATTTCTGAAAAAGAAATATTGCATTAAGCCTGGGACTGGGCCATCTTCACAGAGACTATGGTTGTTTGCAGATAGCCATGCTGGAATGGCAGTTCACTAGATGCCCAGCTGGTGCTGTGATCAGACAGCAGTTCACATGGCATCATGGTATGCTGAGAGTATATGGCATGCTGGAGGAAATGCAGGCTTTCGTCTGCCTATAGCATGACAAATGAACCAGCGATGATGGATAACATCTTCTAACATATTAGACTAAGTGCGCAGTTTATCCAAAAAAGCAGTAATTCTTAAGGAAGGAGAAGAGGAACCACCACTATCCAACTTTTTTTTGATCACATACAGTGTTACCAGGTTTTCAAGGGTATGGTGATTTGCTCCCTTAGGGAGACATGGCAGTATTTGAGAATCACAGCAGTAGTGGATGACTGCAACATGAAGAAATGTCTTCACAGATTCCAAGTGTGCCACTGGAAGGGTCAGGGAATGGGGGATGTTCAAGAACATGCGGCTCTACCTCATCAAAGGCTAAGGACATTCACTTTAGGAAAGGCACTTTGGACAAAGAACCAAAGAGGATCTGCAGTTAGAAAAGATGTAATGCTTCCTAAATGGCAGGCTGAGAACCATTTTTCAGAGAGGATGAGGATCCCAATTACAGCGAGGGCAGCAGAAAAGAGGAAAAGATTAATAATCCAGCGGTATTCTGGAGAGAGAATCAACAATACTTGATTACTGATATACTGTGGAAGATAAAGGAGTAAAATGATTCCAAAGCCACTTCTTGCTTGAGTGAGTGGATTCTGGCATCATTAACAAGAAAAAGAAAATCATTTTAGGTTAATGGTAATGAGATCAGTGCAGTCTATGTTGACATTGAGGTAGTGTGAAATACAAAATGCAGGTTTTCCAATGGGTGGGAAATTTATACACACACAAATATGTATATGTATGCATTTATATATGTACAGTTGACCCTCTAACAACACAGGTTTGAAATGAGTGAGTGCACTTATATATGGATTTTCTTCCATCTCTGCCATTCTTAAGACAAGACGAACTCTTCTTCTTTTTCCTCCTGAGCCTACTCAATGTGAAGATGATGAGAATCAAGACCTTTATAATGACCCATTTCCACTTAATGACTAAGAAATTTATTTTCTCTTTATGATTTTAACATTTTCTTTTCTCTGGCTTACTTTAAGAATATAGTATAAAATGCATACAACATACACAATATGTGCTAATTGACTATGTCATCGATAAGGCTCCTGGCCAGCAGTAGGCCATTGATACTCAAGCTAGTGCAGGGAGTCAAAAGTTACATGTGGATTTTTGACTAGGCAAGAGGTCGGTGCCCCACCCTCAACATTGTTTAGGGTCAATTGTGTATGTTTGTGTGTGTGTGTACGTGTGTGTGTGTGTGTAGGTGTGTAAAGATATGTATCTAAAAATATATACACATATATACACACATACCATGTAGACATATCATGTTATATATGTGTGTGTTATCTTAGCAAGGAAAAGCTGTCTGTCAAAAGTTAGAGAATAGGATTGATTGCTTCATTCACTCACTAAATATTTACTGTGCATCCATTACTATGGAAAAGCTAGTCTAGTAGACTCTAGGGATACAACAATAAAATAAATAATCAAAAAATCCCTGCCTTGTGGAACTTGCACTGCAGAGGAAGGGAAAATATGAAATAGACATAGATGGATATAGATATAGGTATAAATATGGGCACACCAATATCAACAAATATTGAGGGACTCCTTATTTGGGCCTATTGACTCTTCTTTGTGGCAAACATCAGATGAAGCCTGTTACATTTCCACAAATTGTTTCAAATGAAGTGCCATTGAGTTGAGAGGCAGAAGCCTAGAGCAGAAAAAACAAAGGATCATATAGATTTGAGAACTATGTCTACAAAAGAATGCGTGTGTGGATGTGGACACAAGGAAATAACCAAATGCACATAGATCAAGAGCCAACTATATTTCAATAAAATTATACTGAAAGCACAAAAAAATCCTTTGATATTGATTCTTCAAACAGTCATTTGGGCCTCCAGACATGCATGGATAGGAAGCAGGCCATAAACAATATGGAGCTCCCAGGGATGACAGAGAATCAACCAGCAAGAACTTCCCAGAGGCCTGTAAAGCCAATTATACACAGTCATCTATGTTTTTCCCCCTCTAATGGTACAGACATTTACGGCCAATTTAAAACATGTTGAAGATTTTGGAGCATAAGATGGATGGAAGCTGCATTCCTGAATCACATCATGAGGAAAGGCCATCTAAAAATCAGTCATATTCATTTTGAAGTTTGCAAGCAAAAAATAACACCTTTCAATGTATAAGATTCAAGAGTTTGTATGCTAGAGCCGCTATTATTTCCCTAAATATTATACTAGGCTAATGATATTAATCCAAGCTCTTGACCACAGATATTGGCCGAAGAATGGGTATTTGTCAATATACAGCAGAAAACATTTGCTTGGAATTTGAAGAAAAGAAGATTTTTGTTGTTGTTTTGGTTTGCTTTTCTTTTGCAAGAAGCTACAGTAAGAAAGTCTGCCTCTTCTTTTCTGGATAGAGTTGTATATGTTGAGCTACTTAAGTTAATAAGGTAATAAGGAAAACAAGACATAAGGTAACAAGGGGTAATAAGGGGTCCAGGCTGAGGAAAAGATGCCTGAGGTGGGAGAAAAAAGCAAGAGACAGGAAACACAAATGGTACTTTTGACTAGCTAAGCAAAAAACGTCACCTATATCCTCTAAGCCAGTTTACTTGGATTTCTGAAATAAAATTTAAATATCTTTATGGATACAGTCATTCACTGAAACTTGGTTTATGTGTTTCAGAAAGCAGAAGCAATCAAACTGTTCATCAATTAAGTAAGTGTTCATTTCAACATCACATATAATTATATGTAAGACTATCGAAAATAAGATAATAATGATGGAAAAGGTATAGCAATACGTATAAGAATAGATTCATTTTAACAAAGTATCCCACCTTATGTTGAGAAAAACAAACTAGTAAGTTGGGAAAGGCTGTAGACGTGCTGAAGTATTGATATTCTGTTGTACAAATATAATTTCTTTGTGTTTCATGATAGGAAAAAATTGGAAATAACCAATTTATATTATAGAATTAATAGGAAATAACTTCCAAAATGTACTATATGTATGGTTACATTTATAAAACATAAGTATGCCAGGAGATAAACACTGTAAGTGGTTACATAAAAACAAAACCATCAACATGTTATACTGATTGCATTTGTATTGATTTTATTCATAGTTCTCACATATTTTATAGTTTTGGCATTTTATATTAACAGTGAAAAATGAAAATGAAAATACAATATTATATGAAGTTCAGGAAACAAAACCTTAAATCAAAATAATGATCAAAGAGCTTATTCTCATTGAAATTTAATTTGCTCATTGATGAATTAAATAACACATGGTACAATTTGAATTCTCCTAAAATGTTTAGCTTTTGAAATCCTAGCCCATGAGTTATCAGTATGAAAGTTCTCCAAAGCATACAAGACAGTTTACCATAGGGTTACGATCAGAGACTCTTGATCATTTACAGGTTTCTAATCCATTCAGAAATTGCTATTTGTTTGACGTTGGGCAAGTTACTTTAACTGGCTGTGTCTTAGTTTTCTAGTCTATAAAAGTGGTTTGATAATTACAATACTCACCCCATGAATTGTTGAGAGAGTTAAATTACTTAATATGTATCCAGTGCTTGGTTAAGGCCCTGGCATGTAGTTCTAAGCAAGTGCTATAAAAGTATCTCCTATTACTACTATTCTTTTAATGCGGAAACAGACATAAAAGTGTCTATGAAGCTAATTGTATACTAATTCAATTACAAAAAAATGGAAATGAGATACTGTGTATTAGTAATGATGGGGGAGTTTTAGAATTATTACAGACATATTCAACTCTATTTCCTCCTCATAAAAGTTATCATCCACAACCAGATCTGCTATTTGACAGCTCAGATTTGAAAACAGCCCTTTTGACAGCAAGGTCAAGGGAATTTCTCTCGTGAAAGAGAGAACTGCTTAAATGGAAACAATAGGTAGACCGTTCTTTACAATATATATATGAAGACTACATTCTGTAATACCCTCTGGTAACATTAATTCTCCATGGACAAATGCAAAACAAAATAAAAATGCCGTGAGTAAAAGTTATTGGTAAGTCAGAGTGAAGGTGTAGTACTTATATACCTACTTCCCTTACTAGCTAAGAACTATTTGCTGGGTTGCTGACATTCAGTACAGTGAGGGAGGGTATACTTTGCAAAGAGGTGCTTCCACAATACTCATAAAAATAGCCTTCTCCACATCCTCTCCAGCATCTGTTGCCTCCTGACTTTTTAATGTCCGCCATTCTAACTGGCATGTGAAAATTAGTTCATCCATTGTGGAAGACAGTGTGGTGATTCCTCAAGGATTTAGAACTAGAAATACCATTTGACCCAGCAATCCCATTATTCTGTATATACTCAGAGGAGTATAAATTATTCTATTATAAAGACACGTGCATACTTACATTTATTGCAGCACTGTTCACAAAAGCAAAGACTTGGAACCAACCCAAATGCCCATCAACGATAGACTGGATACAGAAAATGTGGCACATACACACCATGGAATACTATGCAGCCATAAAAAAGGATGAGTTCATGTCCTTTGCAGGGACATAGATGAAGCTGGAAACCATCATTCTCAGCAAACTAACAAAAGAACAGAAAACCAAACACCGCATGTTCTCACTCATAAGTAGGAGTTGAACAATGAGAACACATGGACACAGGGAGGGGAACATCACATACCGGGCATGTCAAGCAGTCGGGGGCTAGGGGAAGGATAGCATTAGGAGAAATACCTAATGCTGATGACAGGGTGATGGATGCAGGAAACCACCATGGCATGTGTATACCTATGTAGCAAACCTGCACATTCTGCACGCATACCGCAGAACTTAAAACATAATAATTTAAAAAATAGCCTTCTTAGGCCACCCCAAAGTGGCTGAATGATGCCATAGGAGAGGAGGCGGATTTGCCTGCTGCACGGATGCTAGCTTTGCTCTCTGCTCTGCACTGGCTTCTCCTCTTGGCTGCCCAGCAAAGATGGCCTTTGTAACTTCATGATACTCATATCCAGGAGTGGGTGAATTACAACACCCATCTCTGCCCCTACAGTCAACAAAAATACACACTCAACATCTGCTATCAAGCAGCAAGTGCTGTCTTCCTTTTCAATGTATAACGTTTTCATTATGGAAACAGAAAAAAAAATTGTTCAAAAATTTCTGTATGGAAAAAGATATATGGCTCTATATAGCTTCAAAATTTATAGCAATGGAACCCATAGATATTACTTATGAATGAAGAGGAGAGAAGAGATGGAAAGAGAAAGATACATAGAACTTTACAGTTCCCAATGGTCTTCCCCATTCATTATTTTATTTGAGCTGATTCACACAACAGTTTTACAAGAGCAAACAAGCAAAGCTAAATGTTAGCCACCATCCCCAAGTTACTGGATCCCCATGTCATCTTAAGCAATCTAACCAACATTTCTCAGGATCCTTGCTGCAAAAGTTGTAATGCCTGTCAATTAAATAGTACAGTTGTGAAGATGAAAAACATATGAAACTGTCTCATGTTGTAAAAACTCTTGAATGTCAGAGGTAAACTCGTCACATAGTTCCTAAATACAGAAACTAACTATGTGTTTCTTTTTAAGCACCAAGTATCGATTGAGAAGATTTTGCATATGACTAAGACAGTTTGGAGATACTAGCTGAGTACAAAATGTCAATTGCTTTCAAGAAAAATGATTTGATTATTTTTCTGTACTTATTATTCCAATGTTGGAGAAATTGAGATAAGAATTACGTTAGTTGAAAATATTTTCTGTGAAAATTATGATTCACTTTTTATCTTCAATCTAAAGACTAAATTTATTTATTTATTTTGGGATTTAGAATTATTCTTAGACTATAAATATGAATTGTTATAGGTATTAACCAAATTGGCGTCATTTCCTCACCCAAAAGACATAAAAAATTTTAAAAAAGACAAAATCATAAATGAGAAGACAAACAGTAATATTCTTACATTACATGGGTCGCACTGCAAAAGTACTATCCCATACTTATTATTTATTATATGATATGACATATAATGACAGATCCATGTTTATTATATGATAAGACCGCCTACCCTGTTATTTCCCTATA